GGCACTTTCTCTCCTCACGCTCAAGCGCAGGAGATCGTCAGGCGTACTCGTTAATATGCATTTGGAGGAGCTTTTCATACTCTATCTAACGATGCCTCGCACGTCTATTTTCGTCACCTCTTTTCCATTACAAACAAACTACAAATCAATTGAAAACGTTAAGAATTCATGAATAGATTCCAAGTTTGCTTTACAAATCGAAAACAAAGTAGTCCCTGGGAAAGGGGCTCACCCTCGATTTGTATTGGGATTCAGCGTCGAAGATTGTATTGGAATTCAACGTCGAATTCCTATTAGTAAGAAAGTGGCACCATCTTCCTTTTGTTCGTTTGGCTTTCTGCTTTCCAGTTTCCTACTTACCCTCTTTAATAGGGATACCCACAGCTAGCTATACCCAGCGCAGCAATGATTACTTAAAGACCAGTTTTGACCGAAGGAATTTTTGATATAGTAATCATACACTGTGGGATAAAGGGAAGAGCCCATGACCGAAACCCATCACGTATACGACGCACTGTATAAGGGTTTCCGTTAATCAGTCGCGCTGAAGACCTTACTGTACCGGGCAGGGTTACTGTGTTCCAANTTTGGACTCAAAGATCTGTCTTGGGTGGTCATTTACCACCATCAGCATAATCTTGTGCCGTAATGTACGAAGTCATAGGTAGGTGCCCTCATTTTTTTTCATCTCTGATCATCTCATTCAGAGTAGTTAGCTGAACTACCGTGGGACGTGCTCTGCGGCAGAAGGCTGCCTTAATGCCAATCGCGGGAAGCATTGAACTTTGGAATTCTTAAGCTTTTTAGTTTCAATTTGAGGAGTTCGCTGAAAGCCATATCAGTTTTTCGAGCTGCTTAGATTTTTAAATTACTATTAATTCCTCTTGTTTCCTATCTCCACTTGACTGCTTTATTTTATCTGTTTTTGCTCTGTGCTCGAATTCTCTGTGGTTTATGTCATTTTGTTTCTACTTTGTCTCGAAACCGTTACCGATTGCTACGGTTAATTTGCCATTGATGTTAGACGACAGATATTCCCATCCTCAATGAACAAATAAATAAAAAATTCTTTCGACGCTTGTAATTTTAATGATTGTCAACAGTTTGAAAGTTTTTTTTTGTTTCAAAGGAAAAGTTTTCGACACGTTGTGTAGGTTTTTCTCTACTACACGGGTTAGTAAGCGATACTATTAATTTTCGACTTTGCTTTATGATCCCTACAATGTTCTTAGTGGCCTTGAAGATGATTATTTCGATTTGTCATCAGCTCCTTCCATTGCTCTGTCTTGGTGTGTTTTCTTATTTCGATAGGAATTTTATAGCGTAGGAAATTCGTTCAACAACGAGTGGAGATGCTACTCAGCTCGCACCATTCCACATTTGATAAGTAGGCCTTTTATTATATAATTCAGGGGTTTCAATCATTTCAGCATTTTTAAGAACATCAATTTTAAGCTCAACCAGGTTCTGATCTCTTTTACTGGCTTTGATATTTCTCAACGAACGATTTCAAGGTAGAAACAACGACAGATGAATACGTAATACGCATGTATGATGTGTATGGTGTTGTTTGACATCTTTTTTAGCGGTTTGCACAGGCTGCTAGCGTTTGTAATGAAAACAAGTCCCAGAAAGTGAATTGTTCATGTTAGGAACATACCTCATACAGTGGTTTTGCTTTCATTTTCAGTGTTTCCTTTTTCTCCGACAAAGATTTCCACTTTGTAAGCTACATTGGAGTCGGATCTACCTGATTCGGAAAACAGTCACCCAGACGACTGTGACAGGGATTTCAATTTGTGGGACTAAGCCTTCGTGGGGGTTTTTTTTCATCATGTGACTGCCAAATGTTTCGACATCGAAGCACCGAGTTTACTCATCCCATCACTTTTTCCGATACCACTGTGCCACGTGGTGGTAGTTGGTTGAACTCCGCAGTTCCCTCAATGATAAAGCCACAGAAATTTGATGTGTGCCATTTCTTCTATTCTTCTACACACGATAAAATCATGAGTTCTCTACCTGCTTCGAAATCCCATAGTTTTACATTACGAACGATGCCAGTTTTTATTCCTTTGTTCTACGGTTGTTCATATACATTGACTCTGCAACCGGCCTGAAGTTGTGTCCATCCTTGTTCAGAACTCGATTTTTACAGCGCTTACGGCTCCAGGGAATAGTTGCAGATAATTCTTTGTTGAGGAAATCCACTAGGTCAATTTATGGATTGCAAAACGTACCTCAGTTGTTGAATAATGCCGAGTTTCATGTGAATCTGGCTGCTAAGTAGGTAACGGTGCGTTGTTAGGCCTTTGCAGACATTGCGGATTTGGCTGAAGTGATTTTTTTCCGAGTGGAGCTACATTGAGGATCGATTTTGAATTATTTTCAAACTGCGTTGTGAGGGTAGGGGCAATAATTTATCAGTGCGGAATCATGTAAAAGTAGTGAATGATTTATAATATTTATCGTCGTCCCTTATAATAGTTTGGCATCCTATTTTAGTTCAAAGGTTTGATTTTTTTGCATGGCTCTAATTGTAAGTTAAATAGGCTGAATTTGGAAGATCAGGTTTTCGTCTGAATTCGCAGGAAACTGAAGACATGGGGGTAGAACCATCTGTCGCTGCCTGCGGCTCCTTTCATGACTTCCAAGAATTACGATCGGTTTGCTTTGTTTCTTTTTTCATCGTCTTCGAATGCACGTGCAATTATCGAGTTTTCTTCGAAGAATTACAGTCATCCAGTGAAAAAAAAATGATAAAAAACTGGAGGAAAGGATAGAGTGAATCTTGGTGGATTTTAAAGGGATTTCAGATGGGCTGGTGCCTGGTAGCGAAGGATTTTACTGAAGTAGATGGCAAGCCACTCGGGGTAATGTCCATAGGTTTGTCATCATAATGGCATCCTATCCATCTATCGACTCGTAGGGTACCTACCCTTTCGTTTTTTAAGCATAGGCTGCCC